CCATCATCCAGATGCAGCTTCCTTCACCTAAACTCTGCTGCATTCTGGTTTTAGGAGAGCAGAATCTTTCACCTTCAACCCTTCAAGCATCCAGACTGGTTCAGAGCCATGACCTTTAACCTTTGGCTAACAAAGGACTGCAGACCATGAGATGGAGCTCTTAGGTTTCCCATGCTCTGAACTTTGCTGGGACGTCCACTGTAAAAAGACTGGCACCCAGATGTTGTCCTCTGCTGAATTTACTGTGGATTTTTTTTTCTTAGTTTTCCTTTTCTGGTAAACTTGAGGGTAATTTTATTATTTCCTGACATGTTCAAACCTTATAACTGGAAGACGATGGACCTTTTTTTTTAAATTTACAATAGCTGGTTGTCAGCATCATCCCTATGGTCTCGTCCCTTCAGTCTAACACTCAGATGTTGCAGCTAATTTTCTAAGGCGCGTCTGCTTTTGATGGAAAGAGCTTCAAAACAAATGCAGTGTGCAAAGAAAGGTTGGCGTTTATCTCACAGACCGGTATGGCTGGGACTACAGCTGAACATCTGCTGATAATCTGAGTATGAAAGACTTTGTCCTGCATCTAATCTCATCAACGGATTCAGCCTTAGAAGATATCCAGTATGTAACTCCACATTAGCAAACTGCAGCCAGCTTTATTGCATGTAGGAAGATTTTTTCATCTATGTAGATTTAAAGCTCTCTGAGGTCAGACTTCAGAGGCAAGCGGACAGCTCCTGCAGCAGATGCTGTTCAGATAAGTGTTTGGCGTAAATAAAAACATAAGTAGTGCAATCAGTGGGCAGGCAGCTGAAGAGGCCTGAACACTGTGCATCAGGTGGGAATTTTCGGTAAAAGGAAAACAGGCTTTTTTAGTGAAATAACTGAAAATTCTGAGAGAGAAACAGATTTGTTTTACATAAGAATTTGATGTGCTTCTGTTGAAGCCTCTGCTCTTTAATGTAAGAAGTAGAAACAGATTTTTCCTTATTTAGGAGAGAGGAAGGAGTACATGCCTTTGGTGAAAATTGTTAGAAATTGGAGTGCAAGTCATTTTTATCCTGGCAGCTCAAACTCTCAGTGTTGCAAAGAAAATCCCTAACAGGAAATTAAGGTTTGCTTTAGAAAGGGCTGAATTATTGAAAATAATAATAATTAAAGTCATTATGACCATTATCAAAACCACATAAACAGTTTATTTAACATTATTTTGTGTAAAGCGTTCTCCATTATGTGTTTTTGATTATGTGTTTGTCTTTACATCTAGTTTGCTTTTGACCCCTTTTCTGTTTTTGCAGATGCAGCCTTTGATCTTTTCATGGTCAAACCCAGAAGGTAATGGTGCCACCTCCCATTTTTGTTAGCGACAAGGCGTCTTTTTATTCCCACCATGCTGTCCTTCTGTCATGCAGCTGCTTACTTTTGAAAACATGACCATCTTCCTAAAGGGAACGGTGTAGAGCAGTCAGTCACCAAAGTCCCATGCAGGATGTCTTGTCTATGGCCCTGAAGCAGCTGCAGCGAGACCTCCCACAAGGAGAAGTATCTGACTCCAGGAGTGCATTTTTCAGACACTATGGGCTCCTGCTAACTTTTCTGTACCCGAATACCTGAGGGAGTAGCACACCTGTTGGTAGGACCCGAGAGCGTTGTCACGTCTCTCCTCAGACGGTCAGGTGTTGGCTGCCATGCACGAGTCTGTGAAGGCTGGCCTGGAGTGCATGCCTGCAGTTAAACCCACTGTTGCTTCACTGATTGTGTCACCAGATGAAGCACTGCATCCTAATGTCCAATGCCCACAGACTTAATGTTGGGTTACAGATGACCTCCTGTGTAAAGCATACAATCCAGGGCCGTGTGCCGGCCGCCTTGGCAACTCTCTGGCGCACCTAATGTTTGCTCTCTGCATCTGTTCAGGATGCTGGGGGCACAACCTCGGCAGTTGGATTTAGCAAAGCAGCGCTGCAGGCATTGGCGCTGATAACCAGAGAGTTTGGCCAGGTCATGTTTTTCCTTGTCCGAGCTCATCGACAGGTTTGCCTTGCACAGACTGCATGCTGTAGGATCCTCAGGGGTTTCTCAGTTGGGACGAAGGAATTTATTGAATAGGCTGCCCTGAAGCTGCTGGAGCAGAATGTTCATGAACGGCAGACTAGCATACCCCCTTCTCTCAGCATTTGGGGTGCCCTGCTGCTACCCCCGGTAAAAGGTCTGTTGGTTCATAACCCCCCGTCATGTGTGGCAGAGACGTTCAGGTGCCAGTCTGCTGGCCAGTTGGCAGAACTGGGCCTCAGGTCCTGGACGGCCTCCCACCAGGGCTCCCAAAGGCCGGGGAGAGAGAAGATTATGCTACCGGGCCAGCTGTTGGACATTTTTCCCATCAGCAGACATCCCCTCTGCTCTTTACAATATCAACCACCAGGGATGCACGTCTCCTGAAAGTGTCCAGGGATCTCCTGGAATGGGCTTTCCCCCGTCTGTGCACCCTGCGTGCAACGTATCTGCAACTAGGTTGCAGACTCTCTATCCCCCCAAGGCACCATCTCTGGGAGAGTGGTCTTGCACTGAAACATCATGCAAATGATCTGGAACCTCTTTGGCCAGACAGAGGTAGATCTGTTCACTTCAGAGGTGTCGACCCATTGCATCTATGGTTTTCCCTGACAGGGGTACCAGGCGCACCGGGCCAGGACATGCTAGCTTATCCTTGGCTGCAGGTTCTCTTGTATGCCTTTCTGACCCTCTCTCTGATTTGGCCAACACTACGGAGGGTTCTCGAGAAGGGTCACAGTGTGATGCTGTAAACCCTGTTCTGTCCAGTGTAGCCGTGGTTCCTGCTACTTCTACACAGTTGGGGGGACAGATATGGCACGCCAACACTCAACATCTCCGGCTGTGGGCATGGCATATATCAATGTTCCACTCGCCTGTAATATGATAACAGAAGGTGTCTTATTTCTCAGTGATGCTCTGCCCTCGATGAGGATCCGGGTGGGCCCCATATGAAGTACAACATGTGATAAAGGTTCGGGATATGGCGACAGTTCCATGAATCAGACAAGAAGATACAATTATGCAATTCTCAGTAGTATATGATCATATATCACACAGAAAAATAGTGTCTGCGCACCTTGAATGGAACCATTGGTGACAGGGCATCACCACATATATACAGACTGTGGAAGAACCACAGTGCTGGTACTATTGGACCTCAGCGCAGCGTCCGATACTGACGATCACTCCATCCTGTTACAGCGCCTGGAAAACTGGGTCGGCCTCTCTGGTACAGCTCTCAACTGGTTTAAATCCTACTTAAAGGACAGGGACATTTGTGTATCAGTAGGCAACTTTACATCAGAGATGACAAAAATCACATGTGGGGTTCCCCAAGGGTCCATCCTGGGTCCCCTCCTATTCATATCTACATGCTCCCTCTTGCTCAGTTAAAAAAAAAACAACATCAGCCACCATAACTATGCAGACAACACACAGCTTTACATCACCATGTCACCAGGTGAATATGAACCAATTCAAGCACTGAGGAAATGCTTAGAAGAAATCAATGCCTGGATGTGCCATAATTTTCTTCAACTGAATAAAAACAAAACTCTATGGGAGAATTACCCTGCCATAATGCAAGATCACATAAT